TTCTCCTAGAAAATGCAGATACTCGAAAAGCTCTAAGCGTGCTTGTGCCGTCACAAAAGCGGCAACCACAACGTTACTTGATGGTAATGACGTCTAGGCCTCAGTCTTATAATTCCAGTTAACGTACAATGTATCATTGTTGACGGGTAAAACACCATTAATATCGATTTCTGCACTCGTAAGTAATTCCATTAATATTTCTGGGACCGTCACCACCTCAGTTTTTGTCAAATTTTCACGTTGACCAAATTTACCCCACAAAGAATTGAGTAATAATTTTGCAACGAATCTTAAGCCAGCATCGAGGTTTATCTCATTTTTGTCGAGATTTATTCCTTCAGTTGTACGGATTTCGTCGATATAGAATTCCTTTTGCTCATTAGATGTGCAGGTAGGTGGGTAACCCGAAGCTAGTGTTTTTTGTTTAAAAAAACTCGTTAATATAATGTGCAAATAATCCTCCTTTGTCCGTTTCTTGATTATGCTGTGTTACCTGATATTGATATATTTCATAAGCATTTTTAACGATATAATCTATGCGAACAGCCACCTTGACTTCTTCGGATACCCACGTACCTCTTAGAATGCGATCTCTTTCATCGTCGTGGGTACAGTGCTCTTGAAGCATATTCTCACAACACGTACGGCACAAAGGAAAAATAAGCTTATCGTGCATTTTCACCCGTAATACAGGATGATACAAATTTCTAGGTGGTAGCACATCACACATAATTAATCCATTTACTTGGGAAATATCATTATTGTCACCTATTATTTTTTTACACTCCCCTTCGTTAGAGTATAAGGTTGGATGACCAACGGGGAATATACCTCGTTTGCAAATAAATGGATGCAAAGAGCATACGTCAACGTATTTAATTTTTTCTCCATCCTGACAATCGTACATTTTTACAGTGTTTCCTATTTGACCACCGAAAAATAGATCACGTGGATTCAATGGTTTTCTACTCCAATAATTTTCGTTTTCTCGAATAAAATTTGAAAGTTCTTCGTTTTCACGTATTTCTCGGTTAAAGTCGCATTCGCATTTTTCTATCGACTCATAATTTGACATTCTTATATTTTCGTGAATCCTGCAAGTTTTCTCATATCTATCATCCATTGTATCTCCGGTCGTCAAAATGGTATCCTGGTTTATTCGGTAACACCGTGGGCAGCCGTGCCATTCGTTTCAAAATTTTGGGCGTGGTCATCGGCCCCTGTACAATGGTACTCGTTTAGTTTTAGAGACTCAAGGACAAATCGTTTATACGTTACGATTAATGTACTATGAAAATGCTGAGCTTTACGAGCCTATTCTGAATTTGATCGGCGCAAGCGGTAGTTGCGGATACTGTATACCGTGCAATAAGAGTTATTGGCGTATCGACGATCACAGATGCTCCAACAAATGCTACAAGTCTATGCAATCTTCTCTTTGCGATGTGACGGGTCCATAAAAAAAGTGTGATTCGTGCCACAGATTATTTTTTAACTTCACGTGTTTTGAAAATAATTTAAAAAAGGGTTCGTATAATAAATCTTTTACCGTTTGCGAAAAAATCAAAGTTTGCCCGGTATGTTGCAAAACTGTGCGAATATCAAACAAGAAACATCAACATCAATACGGTATTTCTTTTTTTTGCAATTGTAAAGAGTATTTACCCGTAAATCATCAATGTTACATTCAACCGTTATAATTGAACAGCAAAAAATCTAATTTTTTAATATTATTCTACGATTTTGAAACGCAACAGACGACACCCATCGTGGGTAATGAGGAAAAAAAGATCCACGAAGTAAATCTGTGTATTGTTCAACAAGTTTGTAATGCTTGTAGCAACGTACAAGATATTTCGATAAACTGCGATCATTGCGGTATTCGAGAATATATTTTTCAAACTAATCCAATCAAACAGTTGGTAGATCTTGCTTCGGATCATCAAAAATATTTTGACAAGATCATTTGCATAGCACACAATTCACAAGGATTCGATGCTCAATTTATTTTTAAGTACATAGTGAAAAAACACTGCGAACGCGTAGTACCATCCGTTATCACGAACGTATCAAAAATAATATTAATGGAATTTATGAAATTAAAATTTATCGATAGTCTTAATTACTTTCACATGCCTTTAAGTGGCTTACCCAAGTCGTACGGTCTGTCGGAAATTGAAAAAGGTATTTTTCCACATTTTTTTAACAAGCCCGAAAATCAATCGTACATAGATCCTCTACCGCCGCTCGACGTATATTCACCCGATAGCATGCACATTGTACTACATCTTAATTGTACTACATATAATGCTCACAAATATGTTTGTAAATATGTTTTTGTTGTCAATCCTTTTTTTGTTGATTACATTTTTTTCTTCTTATTATTTTTCAATGTTTTTTTTTCGTTCTCACGGAAACAATTTTTTTTTTTGCCTAAATTTCTGAGTGTAAACATATAATTTTGTTATTATGAATAATGCCCCTTATTGCTTCCAACAGTTAACTCCTAATGGTTGCAAAGTGTAACTAATCATTTGTACAATGATCTGTCTTTCCGAACGTTAGGTATACAGGTATTTTACACGTAAAAAAATTTTCTATCTCAAATATTCTTATCTTTATTCTCTTTCAATTTAATGAGGGATAATAATAATGATGTAGTAATAAATTTTAAGCTTTGTAGATAAAGAAAAAAATTTTGTTTATTTTTTTTTGTAGTATCCTTAATTATTGTTACGTTTTTCGTTAGAGAATGCCACGCGCGCATCTTATATGCCTTATTATTTTATTCCCATAACGTACGTATGTTATTGCTATATAAAATATATCCCGTCACCGTTACCAGTATGCATATATGTGCTTTAATGTGTTTTTTTAGCCTTAAGATTATCGTTTATTTACCTGCTTCTGTCGATGTATATTTTTTTTTGCGGTGCGTCCGAGGGCTGCGAAACAAAAAAAAAATTTTTTTCCGTACATATTTTATCAATATTATTTTTTTAAGGAAGAGGGGGTTTAATTGCCTAAATGTCTGTTGGTTTTCCAGTTATTAGTTATTTTATATTTCCTCTGTATAATTTTTTGTTCTCTCGTGGCTTGTCCAAGGGCCCCGAATAAAAAAAAGTAACGCTTTCCTCTTTATACTTATACACGTATATTACTGTGTATCCTATCCATTTTTTTTCGGATTCAGAAAATTATTTNTTTTTAAAGCTGTTAAGATTTTAAACTCCCAAAAAATGTATATTAAAAAAATTTTTTTTTCTCTTATCTAACAACTTTATTACCAGAGCAACTAAGTCCTGGAGCTCAATCTCTGCATTTTTGATCGCCAATATCTTGTCGATTAGATACATTTGAAGTTTTCCTTCCAATTCACACTCTTGCGACTTTTGGCATGCCTAAGACTTTTGTGACCCCTAGAGGCTGTTTTCTGTCAACTTAATTAAGTTCTAATATATTTGTTCGCAAGATAGTTCGACGTCCGATGGCCCTAAAACAGACCGGTGAGCTTCTTAAGTATAGTCTTTCGCAATTGCTTTAAAGGTCTGGTGGTGGTGGTGGTTCAGGTCGGGGTATTTTGCGCTCTTTGTTAGCCTTATCTTTTCCTTGCTCTCCCTTCATCTTTTTGTCACTTTCTGTGTCCTCTATGTATTTTTGTATGGAATTTCTCTCGTTTAAGTATGTTTTCTTGTTTGTTAAAAGATAATTTTTATCCTTTAAATTGGTTTTGTCTTTACGTGTCACTGAATTATCCCTTATACTTTCCAGCGGATCGCTCAGTAGTCGATCTGTCGTAGTATCGGATTCCCATACATCTATTATAATGCCTGGATTTCCTTCAAAATCTCGATAGTTGACGTCTAAACTAACTTTTGCTCGGAAATTATCTATAGAATCGTCAAGTATCACCCCGATTTTCTTGTTTATTTCAGCACCCTTTTTTGCGCCCTCTTTTACTTATATGGACGGTAGTGGGTCATTTATTCGCTCCCTATCGTTTACTTTCTTACGTATGGGTTCACTCTGTGCCATTTTTTTCGGCGTCGGTCTGTTCGATTCGACCTTACTTGCTATATTTTGCTGCTGCTCGTTATTTTCGTGAATCATATCTTGCGCGTGAACCTCTTAGTTGCTCTTCATCTTATCGTTCTCAGTTTTGCTTGGTATACCTGTACCTGTATTCATCATTTATTGTATTCAGTACTTATTGAATCAAGGATTCTCTCTCTCTCTTCTCAGCCGCTTCTGCTGCTAAGCTTGCCTGTGCTTGTCGGTGTCCCTAGTGCATTTGTGTACCAGGATTTATTTTTATTATTTCCTTACTAATAATATCCTTTAAGATGTTCGATTGCTTGACGGAAATAGAAAAATCTGGAATTTCTCTTCGTAACGTATCCAGCTGACGTTTACGGATTTTGTGTTGTATTTTTTGATGTGAAACATTTTATGGCGGGCAGTAAATAGCCGCGTTAGGGGAAATATGCAACTAAAAGTCTAGTCCGCTCTTCTGTTGCTGTTCACCCTACCGCTGAGCACTCCTCTCTCTCTTTCTCTTTCTCTCTCTCTCTCTCTAAATATATACATGCGGTATAACATGTATATCTACGTATACGTAAATAAGGTAACTATATAACTATTGACGTGTATATATAGCCTTTTTCATATTAAAGTGTACTATTGTTGACTAACCGTATATCACGTATACATACATATATATATATAGGAGGCGTGCGGGAGTCTCGGGTGTGTTTTCGGAGCTCCTGCCGCATCACACGTGCTATCATCGCTTCTTCGTCCTGCCGAGGAGTGCGTGTACGGTTTGAACTTTTCGAGCCCCGAGCTTTTTTGCGGGGCCTGGTTGTCGCGACGATTATGAAGTCGTTGTCGTCGGGCATGGCTTTGCCAGTGTGCTATTGTTGTTGTCAGTGTTGAAGGGTACAGGGGGGGAAGGAAAAAAGGAATAACAAGTTGCGTGGGGCAGGAAAGCCGGAAGGAAGATGAGGAAGGGCTTTGGGGTGATGATGCTCGGCGGCTACGGCTGCCTGGCGCTCCTCTGTTTACTCTTTGCCTCGGCGACGCTCGTACAGGGTGAGTATAGTTGTTATATTTTGTCTTTGCCAGTATAGTTTGCAAATAGTAGCTGCGATGCACGAGTTTGAGGGAGGAATCCAGTTGCAAGGCACGAGGGTATACGTCGTGCTGCCCGGTATTTCCGAGGCTCGAGGGGCTTCTTTTGTTTTGATTGGGGTGCCGGCGAATCGATAGGCGCACGGGCGTCGTTGCTCTCCCTGCTGATGCTCCGAAAATTCCTTACGTATACTCGTCGAGGCTTTTGTCGGGTACCGGCGCTGTTTATTTTCAAACTTGGTTATTTTACAAATTGAACGTGTACATGGATACGGTGCGCGTAACCCATGGCCGTTGATAGCATCGAGCTGGAGCGAGGTTGAATAACGCGATTGTGTAAGCGGTAAATAAACAGGCCACGAGATGAACAAAACGAGCTCACGAGCGTGATCTATTTTTTTTGTACTTGCCGATAACGTCCTCCGGATGCTATTTGGAATAACGTGTGGAGGAAGTAACGTTTTCGTAGCTAACCGATTGTTTTTTTATAAAATATACGTGCACTCGTTTTTTCCTTCCAATTATGGGATAATTAACGCAACTTTGATCGATAATCTTTTCTTTTTGTTTGGAGTCTTCCGAAACAACGATTCTTCACGCGGATGGATATAATCTGTTATTCACAGTTGGATATTGAAAATGTAGTTACGAAAATCGTGTGAACCAAATGATATGTGACTCAGTATCAGTTTTATTACTAAACTCCAAAAATTGGCCAAACAGTAACTCACTGTTATCTGGAAAAAAACCTATACACCTGTAAAACAAGGAAGAAAAAAAAAATACAAAATAAATACACACGACTACGATGAAAAACGCAGTCACTGACCCTCTCCACTCGTCAATGAAACTCAATCTCGTTAAGCTTGAGGCGAGCCGAGCCCGAGGTGTTGTAAAAAAAAAAAAAAAAAA